TGATTGCGCCTTTCATTTTATCTTTGCAGATTTAAATCCAGGTGCAAGTGGTCGATTGCTTCACTGATTACAAGTGTATGGCACAATGCTGTCAAAAAAGTCTACGGAAATCTAACCTACTTGCTGTAATCATTAAGCTGCATTGAACTTTATATCGGCTAAGCTCCCCATATATCGAAATAACAACGTCTGCCCAGAGATAACAGAAAAATTGCAATAGATGTTACGTCCTGATTATCGCTTTTACGTTAACTTTGCATGTTCAACGTCGAGGACAGCTGGTCGTTTGCTTCGCTAATTACCACTGCCATAAAACAGAGCATTTGCAGGGCAAAATATGAAACTGTAGGTGAACGGGCTTGCACTCCCCACGCCTTTGAGTATGTCTGAATTAACAAAACGCTGTAATGCTCTAAAGAGAATTCAGCCACTCTTCAAGAATACCTACTTGTCAGGTAAATATGCCTAAAATTCTATTCATGCAACCTCACATATTTACTGACGAACATATTACCGATCTGCTATACGGTCTTTGCTGAACTTCATACTTTTATTTTCGCAAAAAATGTACATTGAGTTTCGATGTTATTGTCGATTGGGAATGGCGTTTGAATTAAAAGCAAGTATAAATATGCGAAACAGTGGCAAAGTGCCGTAAAATATGTAATGTACTTCGAGCTCATAGATTATGATATCGGTAGTCCTAGACTTGTCTTTTTTTGTGAACTGGTTGAATGACATTTAACAAGATAGGTGCAAATCCGTTTAGTAATATTTCTTGAATTGCAGGCAATTATACATAGAACAAGTAAGTGCTTCAGAATACAAATTAGGTGTGAAGGTCGTATCCTGCTTTTTAAATGTTTGCTTACTTTTATTAGCTCATACCCAGCACAGTAAATTTGGACGTAAATTGCACGTATGTCACACACAGTAGTTCCACAAGCATCACAGCACTGTTCGCTGATAAAATGCCTTACAAGTGACGACTTAAGCTAAACTGTGCACTCTATTTTTTTATCACACAGGAAATTCTCAAAACTGGGTAGATTTTACACGTCTAATTCCAATGAATATGCCACGTATTTGCAATACCAAAGCTAGCACTAAACACCCCACATCTATTGTTCTTCGGCACTGAACCTTGTATGCAGTTTCCTCATGCGTTCGCTGCATGATTTGCAATTAAAGCCATCATATATCATAGTCTGAATTTTTGGCAGCATAGCTGATGAAATGGTAAGCTATTTTAAACGAAAACGTTATCATGCAGAAATGCATGGCAATAACGTGATTCGTCACTGACAGGGAACTATGATTACAATTAATAATTACCGGTAAGGGGGCAGCAACGGTGCAACCGACTGGAACCACTTCAGTTCCGACCAATTAAGAAATATGAAGGTCAGATTGCGATTGGCTCCGCTGAACTAATGACATTCACAACTTCAGTGCAACATATGAGGCCTTAGCAACATTATTATGAAGTCTAAGTCTAAGCAGAATAATGTAAGTTGTGTGAAATAATCTTCTACTTTTTCATAGCTGATAAGCAAAAGTAGAGTACCGGCACGTTCGTAGATGGAGTTTTACCCAGTTATTTATAGGGTCTGTTTTCTGTCGTGTACTGTTCGCCATTTTTCGCTTATTATGATCGCAACGTTTTGTTTAGTAATAACGCAATCCTTTTTTAAATTTTTTTACTCAATTGAGCCCTAGACCTATAGCCATTACTGCTACATTCACTCTCAATGAGATATTTTTATTGTTTGCTGCAACATGCCTGGAAAACCCAATAATTCCGTTAATTGGCAACTAGTTTGTTATAGATCAGTTTCCTCAAGAATTGTGTTGACGACCTGACAGTGGTGTCCGAATCAGCGGACAAAATGTGAACTGTCCAAACAGCCACTTTGACCGTCCGGGATTAGAGCTTCTTTGAGAAATACGATTAGCCGGAGGGCTGCGCTCACTTTGTGCAGTTTTGGGAGACCACAGGAGCGGATCAGGGTCATTTCTTGCGTTCTTGCCATGAATCGGTCGATTGACGATATTACATCTGAGTTCCCCATTGCCAACAGCGTCGTGTTGATCTCGGGTATCATGGTTTTAGAGTTGGATTTGCATGGAACGTGTGACTGATGATCCCCTACGAAAATGTGATCTTTGTGAATGTAGTCGCTGGACTCGAGGCTTCGCAAGTATCGTCAGAGGATCGATGAACAGAAGGCAAAGTGCTT